GNCCCCCTTCACCCAAACTCCCTCCCCACTCACTCACCTTGCCCCAGCACCACGAGCCGGGCCTCCACATCCTCTCTATAGCACCAGTCGAACAGTTCCCCCAGCTCGCTGGTGACAGCATACGCCAGACTGCTGAGGGACCCAGCTTCCAACAGCTTCTCAATAATGGCCAGGTTGCGAACCAGGTACGAGTCCACCACGTACAGACTCAGCAGGGGCACCAACGTTGTGAGCCAGCTGGGGTGGAAAGGGGGAAGGGGAGGGGGAAGGGGAGGGGGAAGGGGAGGGGGAAGGGGAGGGGGAAGGGGAGGGGGAAGGGGAGGGGGAAGGGGAGGGGGAAGGGGAGGGGGAAGGTTTAGTGTGTGTTCAGGTGGCAGGCGGGAATGAAGACGGCCCGGTTCACCTGCGTATTGTGCGTGTGGTTTTGCGCATGGTAGGGGGAGGGGAGAAGGGTGGGCTGGGAAAGAAGGGGGAAGAGGACTAGGTGCGTGGCCCGTGCGGCGGAACCGCCTGGAGAGCCCGGCCCGGGTCTGTGTGGAAAGGCAAGGCGTGTGTGTTTGGGGGGAAGGAGACCGGGGTGTATTGCAGGCGGATGTATATGTCGTACTTTGTATGTACGACTTCGTAGGCTTAGATGCCCGAGGCCTGATTGTTCATCCAACGGTGGTGGTGGTGGTGGTGGTGGTGGTGGTAGTTGTTGCCCCATCCAAATCCTGAAACCCTTACTCCCCAGCTCCATTCCCTACCTCCCGCCTCTACCAACAGCAGTGGCATGTCGCCACGTACATAAAGGCCCACCCGCCCGCAGGAGCCCGCCCTCCCGCACCTTTGCTGAAGCACCCCCGTCAACTGGGCCGTGTGCCCTAGCAGCACGGCACCGGGACACCTGGGGCCGCCACAGCACAGCGGCAGCACCGCCAATGCCGTACATGACCCACGGGTCCCAGTTAGCAGCTGGAAGTCCACGTGGGCCTCCCGGGACAGCACGTTCCACAGCTCATCTCCGGACTGGACGGGAGGGGACCGGAAGGGGGAAAACCCGGGGAAAACCCCGGGGGATGGGGAATTATATGCATAATAAACGCGCAAAGATTGGTGAGCTGCCGAAACATCTGAATGGGCAAGGGGGGAGATGGGTGGGGGTTGGGGGGGAACGAAGACGAACCACTGGCGAATGAAGCAGATGCCAGAGGTAGACGGATAGTCTATGATAAGACAATATGGGGGAGGTTCGGGGTTCGGGCCGGAAGGGGTTCTGTTACCGCTCGCCATGGAGCTCTCTTCCAGGGGGGGCACCCGTGGCATGGGCACAATAATAGACTCTGTCAAGTCCGTGTCTCCGTGTACGTATGTATGTATTAGTGCGTTTCCCAGCTGTGCCCCAGCGACCCACCAGCAGCACTAGAATGTGGCAAGTTTGACTCTTTAACGCCTAATCCGCCCCGTCCCGGCGTCCCGTGTGGAGTCTCACCTGAACGCACACAGGCTTTTGGCTGGCAAGGGTGCTGGTGACGAAGCCGAGCGTTTCCGCGGGCAGCAGGTCGGGATGCTGCTGGGCCAGGTCCTTGAGGACCGACCCTGAGTTACATGCAAGCTTGCAGCTGAGGCCAGAGCTTGTATATATGATGATGCTGCAGGCAACGGGAAAGGATGAAGCGAGCTTTAGGGTGACCTCGCTCGCCCCATTCGGCACCCAAGCATGAAACCGGACCCACCTGCAAGTCTTGATTCCGAATGCGGAACATATTAGTTCCGCACACTTATAGAGTATTACCCACGAGTCCTTTGCCTTGGCGCCACTGGTGGCCTCGGTTACGAGCTGAGCCGTCCATACGGGGACGGTTAGGAGGTATTCACGATAGCATACGCACGGCCTATGGCAATTCTTCCGATGAATTTGTTGTGCTAGCTTCTAGATGCACACCTTAGTAAGCTCTGAAGCAAAGACTGTTTCCTGTAGACCGGGACCGACACTTTTGACCTCCACCTGATCCTTGCTCGTCGAAGGCTCCTGCTTCTTAAACGCTGTTGATGCCTCCTCGTCCCCCCGGGCAACGCTATTTGCGCAGCCCATCACCTCACGGCCAAGCTTTCCATAAGAAGCCCTCTGGCCCGATTTCTATAAATTATAGTAAGACTACTTGCATTTTACGAAGAAAGTTATCCTCCAGCACGTATCAGGTAAGTCCCTTGTCACGGAGAGCCTGACGCCTCTCCTGGTAGGGTTCAAAAAGAATGCGGCGTTAAATTATCAGAAAACACTTTTCACACCTGGTAAGTTGCAGTGCTTCAACCTCAAACTACGCTAACATTGTTAGCACGTGCCAGCGGTAACCGGATTTCGTACATTCAAATAATGCATGTTGATTAAGTGCTCGTCCTGTAGTGTAGTACGGCAAGTGCGGCGCGGGAGGAGCAGACCGGAATTGGCCAGAGGACAGTGACTGATACGGTAGTGCGTTACAAAGATTAGCTGGGAACAAAGCGCTGAATCCAGACAACGCTAGTTCGCCAGTCAACCGTGCAAGCAAGCGCAAGTCAGAACGTCGTCTGTTGGGGATTTTGAATTGTTTAAATAGTGATTTACTTTGTATTCGGGACCCAGCTCAATAGTAAAATAGATAAGGCGATTTGACGTTGCTGGCATATCGGTCGCCAGTAACAGCGAAGTGATGGCAGAGCGCGAGCAATCGCGCGGCGGAGGCCAAGAAGGCTTGGAGGACATCCTCCAACAGCGGGACGAAGGAGGACACCAGAATGGCGGAGCACCTAGTTACCCGGAGGGGGCCGATGCGGTGAGTAACAGACGCCAGCTATTGCTCCGCGCGGTCAGACTGTAGGCACAGCCAGCCGCCGCAAGTTCTGTTATATCAAAGGCATGGGAGAGACCGGACCCAGTTTTAAAATAGCGGGAAAGGGATGCGCCGCCGCTGTTGTTTGACCAGGCTGGATTAGAAGCTACGGGTCAGGCTTAGCTTATGAAGAACACGAATCTGTAGACCACGAGTGGCCGACTCA